CCTGTTGTTTTTCCTCAATGCGGCTGTAGTCTGGTTTGGCGACATCAATAATCCAGACTTTTTTCTTTTCCACAATCGTGATGTCTGGCATGTTATGTTCCAAAACTTTGTCAGTCTGGATTCGAAAGTCCCACAGTATATTATTTATTTATTATTGTTATTGTTATTATTATTTTATTATATAGTAGAGTCTCACTTATCCAATATAAATGGGCCAGCAGAACGTTGGATAAGCAAAAATGTTAGATAATAAGGAGGGATTAAGGAAAAGCCTATTAAACATCAAATTACGTTTTGATTTTACAAATGAAGCACCAAAACATCATGTTTTACAACAAAAAGCAGTTCAATACATGGTAATGTTATGTAGTAATTACTGTATTTAAGAATTTAGCACCAAAACATCTCAATGTATTGAAACAGCTGTGGATCCGGGCAAGAGGCAGACTGCACTGGATAATACACAATGTTGGATGAGCAAAGGTTGGATAAGCAAGACTCTACTGTAATTCATGTTATTGAACTCCAATGCATTCCATTCAGTTCTGCATCAATTCTGGAAGATACTTCATTCTCCTTGGAGGATAAACAAACACTAAAAATTCTGAGAAAAAACGGAATTCCCAAGTTACAAATCAGTTTCTTTTTTTATTCATAAAATAACCACTCAAGCTTATTTACAACCAAGGCACAATGATTTAAAAGCTCCAGTACCATAAACAGTGACAAATTCCATTGAAGAACAAATATATATATATATTATTTATTTATGTACACCTAGATAAAGATAGGTACATTCTTAATAATTTAATATACAATTGGGATATGCGATGGGAGCAGCAGGAGGCAGATATGAGTTAACAGAGCACTTGCTTGTTGGACTGTGATATATCAGCAGTTTAATGTATTGTCGAAGGCTTCCATGGCCAAAATCACTGGGTTGTTGTGTGTTTTCTGGGCTGTATGGCCATGTTCCAGAAGCATTTGCTCCTGATGTTTTGCCTGCATCTATGGCAGGCATCTTCAGAGGTTGTGAGGTCTGCAATTTGTTCTGCTTTTGAGGAATAGTTTAAATAGACCAATTAGGCCCGAATTTTAACCCAATATGGAACCAGTATTGTAGTTTACATTGTTAACAATCACTCCTTTGAAACAGTGATTGCAACAGGTTTAAGTGCACACAAGAAATCCAGACAACTGGTCAACCGTCTGGATACAGACCTGTGGATTTTCAAACTGGATATCTGCTCATTGTCACTTTTAAGTTCTTTTGAGTCACACATGAGTGACAGTCCTTCAGTTTCAAAAATGAACTGTATTTTCAACATATCCTTCTAAACATTCAAGATATGGAAAGCAGTTCTCCTTTGAAAGACTGACACTGCCCACTTTACAACTGTACATGCCCAGTCTAGACCACCCTCCTGCATTTCAGCCCAACTCTGATATGGCAGCCAAGAAATGAACAGGTGATTAGGGAGGCATGTCTTGCTCTTTCTTGGATATTTCAATTTCAATTGAAATAAAAGTTATTTTTGCCCTTCCAATCATTTCCTCCTTTTGTAGGCACTTAATTTCCGAAATGAGAGTTGTCAGGCATTAAGACCACACACTCTCTCTAACCTGAAAGTTCACTCTCCTGCCCCCATTCCCATGCATGGTGCACAGCTGCTATGGCTTACCTGGGAGACAAGGGCTGCATCTACACTGTTGTGCCAAGAGGAAGGCACATCAAGCCAACCCTGTCCAGGACTGCCTTCCACCTGGAAACTGATGTCCTCACTGCAGGAGTACATGAGGATCAAGAATACAGCTCCACAGCCACCTACAGGCCAACCGCCAAGACACTACACTTGGAGGACCATCATCCTCGGGCTATGAGGGATCACCTAACCAAATTGAATTAATGCAGATTGACACTACTTTTAACTGACATACCTCAGTGCTATGGTAGTTCGGCACTAGCACCCTTGGACAAAGAAAGTTCAAGACCTTGTAAAACTTCAACACATATGATTCCATAGAACTGGACAATGGCAATTAAAGTGGTGTCATTTGACAGTGTATGCAGCCAAGACCATGTTGTCAGAAGTTATACCATAAACATATTCTGGGGCTGGTATCTACCCCACTGTTGTTGCTGTTGTATGCCTTCAAGTCATTTCTGACTTATGGCAATTCTAACCTAAAAGTTAGAATTCTGAGGATTTTCTGAGGCTGAGAGTGTGTAACCCACTCAAGGTCACTCAATGGCCAAGCAGAGAACTGAAACTTGTTCTCATAGTCTGATACTCATCGTCTACCACTACACCATGCTGACTCTCTTTAGCTCATTACATTCCCTAAATGTAAACTCTTGGACTTTTCTCCTAACACCCAAGAGTTGCATTACTACTGCTAGACATTCTTAAGCCAATGCCAGGACCTTAGTGCCCCAGCACTAAGTTTCACGTTGATGTCAACACTAGGTTGTTGTTTCCCTTCCCCAAAAGAAATTACCTGGTATTTGTAGCAGCCCCCAGCACCTGGCTCCAGCTGCTATTCCGTGTATTAGAATTGTTCTGACCTAGCACTGTTCTGGGGCACAACAAGACATTGTAACAATAGCTAGGCCCATTTGTCCATTATTCTTAAAGCATCACCGGCACCAGGATTCCATCAGTGGAGAAGAGGACCAGCCTAATCCACTTTGTCCAAAGCATCTTCAAAGCGGGACTGCATCTAACCCAGGCATGGACAAACTTTGACCCTCCAGGTGTTTTGGACTTCAACTCCCACAATTCCTAACAGCCTACTGGCTGTTAGGGAGTTGAAGTCCAAAACACCTGGAGGGTCAAAGTTTGCCCATGCCTGATCTAACCTAAAGTCGTCTACCACCACTACACATCACCCACCACCCAGGAGAGTTTAAGTACTTAGGCACCTCTATAGATATACTGTATATCAACAAATTTGTTCTATTAGTTTCCATTTTCCAGGCACATATCGTTTATAAAGCCACAAAGAATCCTTTCAAGACCAAACCACCAAATATTTTGGATTGTAACAGGAATAGTTCACATCCTGAAATCCATCCCTCTTTGAAAAAGCTACTGCAACGTTTACATCTAAACTAGGGAAAGAATAGAAAAGCAGAGGTATCAGGATTGGTTGTCAAAACATCCTTGCATTAAAACCTTGGCTCCATTTCACCATGGCCTCAGCACCTTACAGGTGAGAGACAGCTCCACATTATTTCAGATAAGATATATATTTACATTACAAAAAATGCTATCCCTGCCCTACATTTCAAGCTTAGAAAAAAATTTTCTGCACTCCTTCAATAGAGTACTACAGTAGTGGTAACACTACCTCCTCCAACCAACAAATGATGAAGGAAGTTCTGGAAACAGTGATGAAACAGGATCAGTAGTGTTGAGCAGAGCAGAAGCTCCAATAGCAATAAATCCAGTGTGAACTGTATAGCAGTATGAGGTTGAGCAAGGAATAATTACAGTAAAAATAGGACATATTTTGCCTCAAGATGATGATTAGTAGTTTGTAACAAAGCAGAAGTGAGGATGAAGACAAGGTGTTAATTCGAAGCAAGAGACAAAAGAAGAATGTAGAAATTAATGGCTGAGCAGAGGAACCATGAAGTCAAAAATAGGGGAACTGTGCATTATAAAGAAGGCTGTTTGGGAAAAGTAGTATTACACACACAGATCTGCATTAGCAAGTGACCTGATACAACTGACATTCACAGTTATTTACACGGGTACAAATACGAGGGTTGAATGAAAAGTAATGTCTCCACCTTCGTAACTCCTCAACAGATGGCAGTACTGGTATGCGGCAGGTACTGGCTTGTTCAGTAGACTCTCCTCTACAGTTCCATTTTGGCGGGAAGCCTTAGCACATGAATGGTTGTGTTGTTAAAGTGCAAAGTATGGAACCCTGCGCAGATGGTCGGTCAATGCGACTTAAGCAATGTGCAGTCATTGAATTCTTGACAGCAGAAGGTGTCACCCCAAAGGAGATTTATCGGAGAATGCAAGCTGTTTATGGTGATTGTGTTGATGTGAGTACTGTGTGTCGTTGGGCGAGAAAGTTGTTGAGATGGGAACATCTGACTTGCATGACAAACAAAGAGTTGGACATCCTGTGACAGCAACCACCGAGTTTCACAAGCAAAAGGTTGACAGATTGATTCAGGACAATCGTCGTATCACTCAGAGAGAAATTTCAAGCATAATTGGCATTTCACAAGAATGTGTGGGTCACATTATTGCTTTGCTTGGCTATCGGAAGATCTGTGCACGATGGGTTGCGGAAACAGAGTGTCGACTTCTTCTGTGACGGCTTCAGAAAACTTGTTCATGTTGGCAGAAATGTATCCAATTGTCTGGTGATTATGTGGAAAAGTGAATAGTGGTAGTTAAAGAGCACATTCTAAGGATTATTTCTGCGTTTGATTGATTAAAATATTCCCATCCAAACCCAAGTAAGGAAAGTGGAGGCATTACTTTTCATTCAACCCTCGTATTCATATAAAATGGGATCTAGCACAAACATCTAAGGCATTTGGCTTAGTGTACAATTTGGTGCATGTGAGTCGGTAAAAAGTGCAAAAAAGCATGATTTGACACTAGTGGATATATTATTGAGGCTTTGAGGAACTGTTGTACTGAGGGAATAGGGGAAAGGGGGAAGTACAGATCAGATGTGCAAATGGTCCCAGGTTCAGTGCCCAGCATCTCCAGGTAGGTCTGGGAAAGGCAGACCCTTGCCATAAACCTACTCAGTTGAGACAATACTAAGCTAAATGGTTTGATTCAGTGTAAGATCGCCCCCTCTGTTCCTATCTGTTGACATTAGCAGACAGCTTTCCTAAGTGTTCGCATGAACAGCAAGGCTTTTCAGAAAGCCCAGAGAATGGCTTGAAGGCACATGACACAATTCTACTGCAAAGCCCAGAGAATAGCTTGAAGGCACATGACACAGTTCTACTGCTAAGCAGGTTTGGTTTGGTAAGCTGCTATCTAATAGTTTCTCTGAGCTCTCTAGAAGAAAAGGGGGCATTGATGTAATAAATAATACCTATAAAAATAATCTCACAAATACACAATTGCATCCAAGAAACTACAGCCCAAAAGCAAGGTCTTCACGTTTGTGTTGCTAACACAAGCACCTAGGCACTGTTGTGTATTTGCATATATATATATATATATCCAGTGCAAAGCTACGCTGATTTTCATACCTGCCCCATTTTCACAAAGAAATGTAATTCCCTGGTAGCAAGTGGTAGTTAAAAAGGAATCCATCAGTGCAAATAAAATGTCTGCCCCTTTGTGCCTCGTGTTTCACAAATGCCTAGCAGGTCCATTCCAAAAGGGTTATTTTTCTCCTAAGATCACTAGGTCTGCAGAAAGTTTTGGGTCATCATCACTGACCTAGGTCATATAACTTAGGTTTAAATAACAGTTTCTTTGTTGGTCCAGCACTATTTACAAAAGGAAGCCAAGCAGCCTGGAACAGGGAGAGGATTGCAGGCAGCAGGCATCAGTAGTATCGCCCCGACTCTTGCCAATTCGTCACCCATTGCTTCTTGTGCTTCTGAGGCAGGAACCCACCAGCCGGCTGGTAACGGTCCTCCTGCCGGATCCGAATAGCGTGGTATTTGGGCATGATTCGATAGTAGCGGGTTCGCTTAAAGAAGTTGCACTGAAATGGAGAGAGGGAAAAAGAGAGGTTACATGGAGGAAGGAAAACATATGCAAACAACGCTGAGTATCCGAGTGAGAAGAATATCCAAGAGTAGAGACAAGAAAAAGGAGAAGGAGAGGTTTTAGTTTTCTGGAGAAGAAAGACAATAGCAAAGAGGGCCAATGTATCTGACCATTCTCCTGTGGTGGTTGAAAGGCTGTCAGGATAAGGATAACTGCAACCATAAATACCTCCCAAAATCTATTTATGAGACTCAAAGTTTACCTGTCTGAACACATCTCCCTTTATGAGCCAGTTAGAGCATGAAGCTCAGCCGGGGAGGTCCTGCTCTCGGTCCCACCGCCTTCGCAGGTCTGATTGGTGGGCACGAGAGACAGGGCCTTTTCGGTGGTGGCCTCTTGGCTTTGGAACTCCCTTCCGATGGAGATTAGATCTGCCTCTTCCCTCCTGATGTTTAGAAAACTGAAAACCTGGCTAGGCAAGAAGGTAATTGACAAATGATGGCAATACTTAAGCAACTAAAGGAATTCACAGGATTGATGCAATAGCTAAATGTTTAACATTTTACGGCTCTGTTTGACAGTTTATATCATTTTTAACTGCTTAAATTTATGGTTGTTATTGTTTTAGTTGTAATGTATTGTTTTATAGGATTGTGAGGCAACTTAAAAAAATGGGAAAGATCTCCCCCCCCCCCCCCCCGGTCCAAACCATAGGAGTGGCACAATGCCTTTAACCCTCTCTTCCGAAAGTGTGCTTTAATTTAAAAAAAAAAATGCTGAAAACGAGCATTAAAAAATAAATAAGATCGTTAAAAAATCTCAGCCAGCTTTTGGCTTTGAACCCCATAGGAGTTTCAGGAGAAAAAATATTTCTTGCTTCAATCCCACCCTCACATTGAAATAAGGCTCGATGCCAGGTTGAGACACAAGACAGAAATTGGTAGGAACTAGTTATTTATAACATACCTTTTAAAATAATGAAGTGGCTCCCATAGGGCTTCAGGGACAAAAAAAAAATCTAAATAAAAGCCTTATTGGAGAAAGTGAAACATTTCTCAGAAGGGAAGGGCAGTGAAATGTGTATGCCCCCTTCTCTCTTCTTATGGAGGTATAATCTCAACATGGGCAGTGATTTAGCATGGAGTAAACCTTTCGCCACTCAGCAAAGATTAAATATGCCCATTGCAGTCAGCACTATTTTTAAATTTATCTGCTGAGTAGCGCAAAAGTACTTTCCTGGCATGCTTTAATAGGAAATACCACTGAACGAAAGGAGTGTTATAGTGTTAGAGTACTATTAAGTGCCATAGTGCAGTATATTAAAGCGAGGAAAGAAAAAAAATCTTCTTCCAGTCACTGGTATTTTAGCAAGGCTGTTAATATTACTTACCAGAAAGATTCTTAATGACGTAAAACTGATATCATAAAAATGTCCTTAAAAAAAAATCTGGACAATGCCATTGATGATTGTATAAAATAATCAGTAACTGGAAATGATGTTTTCTTCAACATCCCCATCTCTATAGGCCCTTCCTCACAGCCATATAACCCAGAATATCAAGGCTGAAATTCCCACAATACCTGCTTTGATCTGAGTTTTCTGAGTCCACATTGCCATATATTCCAGTTCAAAGCAGACAATCTGGGATTTTATTCAACTGTGTGAAACGGGCCTATTTTTATCCAAATACACACACAAACATCATTGCCCACCCTTATATTAAGACATTACTGAGAATGGGGACTATGTCCACATTGGTCCATCTCTGCTGGCTCTGCCATCTCAATGCCACATCAGAATGGTCATTTGGACCCAGAAATTTCAGGAGAAGAATGAGATTAGAAAGTGAAAGATTCTGGTCACACAGAATTAGTGTCATCTTGGAAGCCACCAAAGAAACAGCTGGTTATTAAAGTCTAGGAAAAAGAAAACTTTTCAGTTAGTAACACAAGACAGGTGAAACTGAGAAGGCCAAAATCTGGTGGAGAGCATTTAATGTGTTGTGTGAAACACATATTTTATGGTGACAGCATTTGAGACAAAGGTTCCTGGTCCAGGACTAACTAGTGTATGAAAATTCTTCTGGGAATGTGGCCAATGGACCTTGTGTTGGAAAAGCTAGCAGTGTGATCCAACACAACAAACCATAACAACTAAACATGGTTCCTTCTCATCTTGAAATAGTTATGTGGTACTATGCTACCTTGAGTTTTTCTTTACATCTTTCTCTTCCACAAAAGCAAAAAGCCTATTCCTTTGAATGTTTTGATTGTTTCAAAGGTAATTGACAGATTTTTAGCATAAGAATGAATGCAGATGTCCTAATTCAGCCAGACGAGAAGATTCAAGTATTTGCCAGAAGATCATACTCAGAGGACATGATCTGTATGTAGAAAGTGATGCAATAGTTTAAGTTCTGTACAGGCATCTTTAATTAAAGGTAAGAGGAGATAGGGAAGACCTCTTTTTACGTGACATCCACTGTCAGTCAGAATAGACAAAGTTGGGCTAGGTATGAATCCAACCAACTACAAAGAAGCCACCTAGAACCTCTTGTCATGAGAAGTAGGACACTATTTTACCTGCTTCACCACTGGACTAGAGCTCTCCAAGCCAGGGACTTTGGGGAAGGTGCAATAGAAGGTGAGAATTGACAGTGAAGAAGACAGGTCTTGCCCCAACCACCCATCCATGCAGATTTACCAAGATACAGGGCAAAGGGGTAGGCAATGTCCACCCCGAGACAGGAACTAGTAGCTGTCAGTCAGCCGCTTAGTTTCCGATGGCTGGATCTTCATCATGGCTTTCTGGCCCTTGGCCTCGTACATGGCTCGTGTGCTTGCCCTCCGGAAGAAGCCACACTATGAGGAAGCAGGGGTCAAACGTTAGGGTCAACAAGCAAGGAAACAGTGTGCTGGGGTGTGCAGGGCAGGCAGGACAAACTGACCAGATTTCAGTGCAAATGTCCATGTTTGGAGAGCACCTCTGCTACTGATTTCATGTTTAACTTGGTTCTATACATTGCAGCTTGCAACACGCCAACTGGGACTGAGTGAATTATCTGTAGGGATGCTGGTACCGATTATGTGTATTTCATGCCTTCTGGCATAAGCTGTTTTTCCATTTTCATAGGAAAAGAAATCATCACTGCAAATAATAAGATACAATTTCCAACCCATCCTGGTTATATCTCACTAGGTATTTCTGGAAGATGCTATGTAGAATAATCTCACAAGAACTTATCTCTAGCAATAGAATAAGTGCATGTTAAATAACCCTTCACAACATCAAACGTTTCCTGCCAGAGGCAAATGCTTCGCTGTACTTAATGGAAGAGCTGCCTCTGACTGGAACACAGTTGTAGTAAAGATATGGAAGAAGGCAAGATAACAAACATATTTTGAAGGTGCTCTTCAGCCCAGAGTTTGAAAAATTCTACTTTGGGGCTACAACTCCCAGAATCCCTGAAACAGTGTGCCCAATTTAGTCCAAAAATAACTTTTGCCAAGTTCTATTCTTGCCATGATTGCTTTTAAAGCTTTGGAATAGTTTTACAAAGGTACTTGCTATAATTATTTCCAAGAATAGGAAGTGTATATTCTGTTGTCTGATTACAAGTTTGGAAAAGTTGTTGGAATTCAACCCCACACTGCCCAAGACACCAGTCCTCAATGAGGAGTAGCTAGTTAGCTTTAGAGCAGTGGTTCTCAACCTGTGGGTCCCCAGATGTTTTGGCCTTCAACTCCCAGAAATACTAACACCTGGTAAACTAGCTGAGATTTCTGGGAGTTGTAGGCCAAAACACCTGGGGACCCACAGGTTGAGAACCAATGCTTTAGAATAAGCTGAGGGAATCCCTTCCCCCTTTTCTCCTGAATGAATTTGCTCTCTTCTCTCTCTTTCTGCTTTCATTCCAATTGGTTATGTAAAATGGATACTTTTCTAATGCATGCAGACTTCTGCTTTTCCATCTTAGTTGATGCTGTGTGTTTTGAGATCTCTCTATGCTTGTGTGTCAAGAGAGATGTAGTACTTGGTGTTTTCCCCTCTCTATAAACCCTAGAAGAGATGGAGTACAAAGTAGCTCAGACCCAGCTCTTTAATATTAAGAAATATAGTAATTTTTAATGTAAATAAAACTTTTGTGATTGTTTAAAGATGGCACTCAGGATCTTTGCCTGCCTAAGCTCTGAATTCTTCTGCAGCCACAACCAATGGCACTTCACATTCTACTTGCTGTGAGCTGAATGCTCAACTATATGTATCCAGATACAGATACAGTGAAGACATCTGGCCTTGCGCTTTGCTACGCTGCTGCTGAGTATGCATGCCCAGTATGGAACACATCTTACCATGCTAAAACAGTGGATGTGGCTCTTAATGAGATAAGAAATATGTCTGCGCCCTACACCACCGGAGAAATTACAGAAATTACACTGTTTAGCCGGTATTGCACCACCTGACATCCGCCAGGAAGTAGCAACCAATAGTGAAAGGACCATGGCAGTGACATCTCTGGCCCATCCCTTGTTTGGATATCAGCCAGCACGTCGATGACTTAAATCAAGAAATAGTTTTCTAAGACCTACAGAGACACTCGCAGGAACACCTCAGCAAATGAGAGTCCAAAAGCGGCAGGCTCAAACCCAGAACCTCAATCAATCGCTGATACCAAATGAGAGACTCCTTCCTGGGAACACAGAAAACTGGGCAATTGGAAGGGGCTGAACAGACTGCGCTCTGGCACCACGAGATGCAGAGCCAACCTTATGAAATTGGGCTACAAAGTAGAATCCATGACATGTGGAGAAGAGCAAACCACAGACCACTTACTACAATGCAACCTGAGCCATGCGACATGCACAATGGAGGACCTTCTTATAGCAACTCCAGAGGCACTCCAAGCGGCCAGCTACTGGTCAAAGGACATTTAATAGAATGCCAAGTTTGCAAACTTTGTGTTTTTTAAAAAAATACAATACAACTGTTTGGTTCACTCCTGACACGATAAATAAATAATAGAATCATGTTTGTATTTTGGATGCTCTGCTATTTTTTGGGTAGCTTTCCCTAACAAAAGTTAGTTCTTTAAGTCACCACCCTCAGAATCTTCCAGCCAGTATAGCCAGTGCCCATAATGATGGGGGAATTCTGGGATTGTAATGAAAGAAAAAGCTTTCCCTCTAACTTCTGAGACCAATACAAATAGGATGAAGGGGGAATGGAATGACCACATATTAATTTTCCAAAGATTCACCTGATGCTTGTGTTAATTCGAGTCTAAATACCATTTCCTAGCAGCCCAACCAGGTTTTCCATGAGGCAAGAGAAGCATGTGGAGGCTTCACTGGCTGTGCTCCAGAATGACATGCTCAACGCCAAAAACATGTCCTAACTCAGAGCAGATATTACATCACTCTAAATAAATCTCAATAATGTAAGGTGACACTTCCTGCATTGCAAGCCGGTCTGGCCAGGTTGCTCTAGCCTTAATACATGAACATTTTGTTCTGAGCTGAGATCAATCCACCCTCTGACTGATCAAGAGATGTATGTCAGCCCTGAAAATCTGCTCTGACATCCAGACTTGCCACAGGCAACAGCTTTGTTTATTTTTCCTTTTCATATGTTTGCTGTAAAGATCAGCAGCAACAATTATTAAATTCTTTTTTAAAGTTCATCTTATTCTGCCTAAACTGGGGATTATGGGAGTTTCTGTCCAGAACATTCCTAAGCACAGTTTTTCTAAATAGACAAGACAAAGAGGCAAAAAGATGGAGCTGCTTGTCCTCGCCTTCCCCTGCTGGTTTTATTTGTTTGTTTGTTGTTGCTTTAAGACACAAACCATCTTTTTCTCACCTTCCACAGCAGTAAGACAATGAGTCCCAAAAGCAGAAGTCCAGCTGCAACAGCAACCAACACCAACCATAGTTCAAGTTCAGCCGGCTGTTCTTCACTCAACTCAGAGTCAATGTTCACAGTGTACTAAAGGGTGAGAACATAAACAAGAAGAAATTGTGCCATTAGGGAGGAAAGATAAGAGGAAGAGAAAGTTAAACATAACTGTTTAAATATAAAACAGCATGGAAGCAGCAGTCCAGCATTGTCTGAATTATACAACACGTTTGTTATTATTGTTATTTGCCAATGAATAAGCTTCAACTCATGGTCACCCTCTAAATGAGAGGCATCTAAGCCTCACAAAGCTTTGGGCTTTCAAGCAAAGTTTTCTAAATTTAGGGACATGGCTGTTTTGATTGGATCAAAAAATATTATATCTATGTTGTCGAAGGCTTTCATGGCTGGAATCACTGGATTGCTGTAAGTTTTCTGGGCTGTATGGCCATGTTCCAGAAGCATTCTCTCCTGACTCTTTGCCCATATTTATGGTATGCATCCTCAGAGGTTGTGAGGTCTGTTGGAAACTAGGCAAGTTGGGTTTATCTAGCTGTGGAATGTCCAAGGTCAGAGAAAGAATTCTTGTCTGCTTGAGGCTAGTGTAAATGTTGTAATTGGCCGCCTTGATTAGCATTTATGACCACATAGCTTCAAAGCTTGGCTACTTCCTGCCTGGGGGAATCCTTTGTTGGGAGGCGTTAACTAGCCCTTATCGTTTCATATCAGAGATTCCTGTTTTTTTAGTGCTCCTCTATATTTACTGTCCCGATTTTAAAGTTTTTAATTCTGATTTTATAGTTTCTAATACTGATTTTAGAGTTTTAAATACTAATTTTAGAGGGGTTTTTTTGTCGTGTCAGGAGTGACTTCAGAAACTGCAAGTCGCTTCTGGTGTGAGAGAATTGGCCGTCTGCAAGGACGTTGCCCGGGGACACCTGGATGATTTTGATGTTTTTATCATCCTTGTGGGAGGCTTCTCTCATGTCCCTGCATGAGGAGCTGGAGCTGATAGAGGGAGCTCATCCGCCTCTCCCCGGATTCGAACTTGCGACCTGTCGGTCTTCAGTCCTGCTGGCACAGGGGTTTAACTCACTGCGCCACCGGGGGCTCCTATTTTAGAGTTGAAAGGCTTACTATTTTGAACTGCAATTCCCAGAAGCTTCAAGGAGTTGTGGTCCAGAAAAACCATTATTTCTGAGCTCTGCACATATAGGTAAGATGGGATATAGTCCTGAATGTTAATGATACTAATAACTGGCACGTGTATACCATCGTTCCTAAGTTTCAGAGTGCTTCATTAAAAGTCTTGAGGAAATGTATAGGAGTGATGAAAAGCAGAGCAGAACTATTGTTTCCATGCTGTAGATACTGGTTGGTGATTGGAAAAATCATGAGGCTGAAAGATAGGTGCTTTTCATTCAGCCTCTCCATATCTTTGGTAAATGCATGGATTACGAAGGACAATAGCAGAGAAAGGGTTAATATTTCTGCTTGTGCCTCCCTCCCGCTCATGTCCTACAAGCACATGGGGCCTTATACACAGATGTAGGCAAATTATGTCATCAATATGTATCAGCATGACAGATGTAGGCCAGTGAGGTGGACAACAGAAAGCCAAAATGTTGTTGTGGTGGTGATGGTGTAATTTCAACTCATTTCCAACCTATGGCAGCTCTGAAGTGAACCTATCAGAGAATATTTTTTGCAAGACTTGTTCAGAACGGGTTTGCCATTGCTTTACTCTGAGGCTGAAGGTGTGACTTTCCCAAGGGCACCCAGTGGGTTTCCTGGCTAAGCGGATGTTCAAACCCTTGTCTCTAAAGTCATTGTCCAATGTTTGAATCACTGCATCACATTGGTTCCTTGAGTTAAAATGTTGGTTTCACCCAATCAACAAAATAGATATTCAAAAGGGAAAATCTGGAGGACTAAAAAATAATTATGTATCGCCCAAGATGGAACATAAAATGATATCCTCTCTGTGTTGTCGAAGGCTTTCATGACCGTAATCACTGGGTTGCTCTAAGTTTTTTTGGGCTGCATGGCCATGTTCCAGAAACATTCTCTCCTGACGTTTCGCTTGCATATATGGCAGGCATCCTCAGATGTTGTGAGATCACAATCTCTGAGGATGCCTGCCATATATGCAAGTGAAACGTCAGGAGAGAATGCTTCTGGAACATGGCCATGCAGCCCGAAAAACTTACAGCAGATATTCTCTCTCATTCTAAACACAGAGATCAACTAGGCTAATAGCTCAGCACTGGCATCCTCCATTTCATCAGCACCTGCCACTTAAGAGAACTGCTTCTCTTTGGGTGTATCTGGAATTAATGCAGTTTGACACCACTTTAACTGCCACTGCCCAATGTTATGGAATTTTTACAAGATTTTTGGCCTTCTCTGACAAACAATGCTAGTGCCTTGCCAAACTACATATGAGAGCCATGATTCTACAGGGTGATACTTCGTTGCAGCTGGCAGGGGCTTGATTTGGTGACTTTCAGGAGCAGCTATGCCATATGAATCCAGTTGTACTCACCCACACTGTGTCATTTTTCATGTTGATGGTAGATACATTTGTCCTGAGAAACAGTGTGGCTTGTCCCATCACCTTCACCCGATCAAAGTCATGATAATCCTACATTTCCAGGGGGATGGACAGAAAAGGATGAACATGTTAAAAGGAGCAGTACTAATGTTTTTTTTCCCCCAGTGCATTCCCTCTACTGAATGTTCAATATATGTAGGTGTATTAGCAACCATACAATTCTTGGAAATGATTAAATTATTAATATAGATAATGACTGATGGCAGTCATGGTCTATATATGCCAGGACTGTCTCTCCTGTGACTTAGGGCCCTTCCACACAGCCCTATAGCCCAGAATATCACATCAGAAAATCCCACAATATCTGCTTTGAACTGGGTTATCTGAGTCCACACTCAGATAATGTGGGATTCCCTGCCTTAATCTTCTGGGATCTAGGGCTGTGTGGAAGGGCCCTTAGAGTCTAGAAAGGTTACTATTTACACATGTTGATGGGAGGAACTTCGGGATGTATAGTCTTCCTAAGTAAATATTTTGAACTTTTTCTAACTTCCAGGGTTTCAGGTTGGAAACTCTTTCTATCTCTGCAACTGGACTTATTGAAGAAATGAAGGTCTGAACCTGGACCTTTCTGCACACAAAGGGCAGAGTAGACCACTGAACTTTGGAGTCTACCAATGTTTTGTCACTGCAGTGACTAACTGCAAAATCAGAGTTAAAAATCCTCAGAGACAGAAAAGTGACATAAATCATGAAGGCAATAAAAAGAAACCATTCCTCTAGGATGCCTACATATATTTTGTTTTCTTTGAAATTTTAGGAATTAAAATATCTACACCAGGTAGGCAAACTATAGTTTTCCAGATATCGAAGGGTTGTAACTTCTACTGTCCTTCAACAATGGGTTATACTGGTTAAGAGCTAATAAGAACTGCAATCCAACAACAACTCAAACACCAGGACTTGCAACTTCCTGATCTATAAAACATATTTGGTTTCACAACTGGAAGCAGTTTTTTCAACAAGGAAAGGAATAAGGAACATCTAGATGCCCTGAAACTTCCTGCAAAAAAAGAACACACACATGCATACATGGGGTTAGGGGAGAAAAAAGTCTGCTCACAGTCGCACATCTACTTTTCTTCATTATAATCAATGTACCACCACCCCCAACATTATGTTGATGTTTCTATTTCATTCTATGTTCAAAGGTCCAGGATGCCATACATGGCATTTTGGTCCCCAATTTAGTCTGACAACAACCATATGAGTGAGATTAGACTGAAAGGTTGTGATAGTTCCCAGTGGGTGTCTTTTGTGGGTATTTCAATCTGGGTGTCCCTTGTTCTGCTTTGATGTTCTAACAGCTGCACTGCCCTTAGTCAAAAGAGTAAGAGGCAGGGATAGGGCTTACCTCTATGAAGGTGCTATTCCAGACCCTTGCTCGGACAGTCACGTCCGTCACAGCTCCGATGTCCTTGAGGGGGCACTCAAACCAAATGCAGCGAGAGGTTCCTTTGGAGCAGCTCTGGAGACAAAGGACAAATGTTGGAAACGAGAGCATAAGGTGGAGAGCAGTGAAGAAGTTTGTTCAATTTGGGGAGGAGGGCTTTGGATGCTCACCAGTGATGTTTCTGACTTGGCTTTCTTTGCTGCTGCCAGTGTGATGGGCACTTCACTTTTGGAAGAAGCCTCCAGGTCACGCTTCTTCCTTCTTAAGATGCTGCTATGATTATGTTGCTGGAAAGGGAAAGATCTTGTCACTTTTCTGAATTTAAGCCACAGCTTGGAAAAATCCCTTTTAAACTATAACTCCCAGGATTCCCCATTCAAGGGTCACTGGGCAAGCTGTGTGAAGAGGGAGGGGGGCTTCTGAGAATGGTAGTCCATAAAGGGACTATGCCAAGCTCTGAATCATGCACACTCAAGAACCTGCCAAAGAAACGTCAAATGATATGTGAGATTTTTTTCTCTAATTGTCCTTGGGACAAATTGAACCAGGATACTACATAATTTATAGAATACGCAAGTGTTGCAATTGGAATATCACAAAAATGTTGGCTGGAGGAGTCCAAGAGCCAAGTATTTGTTTTCCAAGCTCTAATAGAAGTTCATATGTTGGCAAATTAGTACATAAGTAGGAAGATGTCCCATATGACCCAAATATTAGAGGACACCAGTGCAATCAGCTTGCCATATTTTCTTTTGTGTGCCTGTTAACAGATGCTATATGGAATTCTGGTACTACTTTACAGACGTCCACTGACAAAACACTTTCATTGGTTCTACATCTGGTGGGTCATACCTGTTCCACACTTGGTCAGATCAGAAGGCAAGCTGTTGCTCGCCCATACACACACCCTCTATCTCTAGCAGATTGAAGCCCATTTTTGCCCAGAGAAAGATAATGTGATGATAGATTAGGAGTAGCACATGACTAAAGCAGTGATAGGTAAAGGTAAAGGTTTTCCCCTGACATTAAGTCCAGTCATGTCCGACTCTAGGGGTTGGTGCTCATCTCCATTTCTAAGTTGAAGAATCGGCATTGTCCGTAGACGCCTCCAAGGTCATGTGGCTGGCATGACTGCATGGAGCTCTGTTACCTTCCCGCCAGAGCAGTACCTATTGATCTACATACATTTGCATGTTTTAGAACTGCTAGGTTGGCAGGAACCGGGGCTAACAGCAGGAGCTCACCCCACTCCCTGGATTTGAACCCATGACCTTTTGGTCAGCAAGTTCAGCAGCTCAACAGTTACCCCATTGCACCACTGGGAGCTCCAAAAGCAGTGATAGCTTGTCTAAAATATAAGTAAGTATCATACATACACCAGTTGAGGGCATGTTTGGGAGCCAAAATTTTAGATTTTAATACAACTTGGGGGTAAGTTAAGGATCATTCTAGACTTCTAAATGAATACGTAGGTTGGTGGGGGGAACAATAAAGGAAATATGGTGGGGTGGGAGGGGCTAAAATCCAGACTCACATGGACATTGAGGCTCAGGTTGAGGTGGTTGATGACCTGCCCAGGGGGTTCACAGAACCACTGTTCATTTCCTTTCACCATGATATCGGTGGGGTACAAGAGCCATTTCCCATTGCTGACTTCATAAGGCCATTCAAAGCCTAACATGATTGTTCCCAAGGAACCCAAAGATTCACCCTTTGTGGTCACCTAGAAGACAAAAGCAAAATGACATTTTCCAAGGCCCATTTTGGCCTCTATAGAGCAGGCATAATAGATCTTCTTGTCTGATAAGGAGCAGCAAAGAGCATCCCATATTCCCCAAAGAGGATATATGGTTTTCAAACCAGTCAGACACTGTCTCCAAAAATAAAAGTGTATTTCATTGTAATTGAGAAATAAGGTACATTAAGTCACATCGCACAGTCCCCGAAAAGATCCTTTGCATATTGCAAACCCAACTTTTCCAATAAGAATTAATTATTGGAAGTGACATGCACTTTCATGGATCTTTCCCTTGAACTTCCTTTTTTCTTTATGCTATCCATAACATTTTTGCTTGCAAGGGCTTGAAAAATATTATTATTATTATTATTATTATTATTATTATTAAAATAGTAGGGAGGTTAGGGCTAGGTTTGGAGTTAGTGTTAATTACGTTATCAGTATAATTAAGTTTATTTGACTATTTGTATTTTGTTTTCCATTTTGATGTTAAGTTTTCTTTTGTTATAGGTTTATGACTATTATTTTGTATTATCTTGTAGTATTTTTAAGATGTTTGTATTCGTGTAGGGCATTGAATGTTTGCCTTTTTTGCATGTAAACAGCCCTGAGTCCCCTTGGGGAGAGAGGGTGGTTTATAAATAAAGTGTTGCTGTTGCTGTTGCTGTTGTTGTTGTTGTTGTTATTATTATTATTATTATTATTATTATTAATCATTCTTCCCCACTAGTCTTCTGATCAAGACTCTGCCCCCTTCCATACAGCTGTATAAAATCCACATTGAACTGGATTATATGGCAGTGTGGACTCAGATAATCCAGTTCAAAGCAGATATCAAAGCAAGGATTATCTGCTGTGTGGAAGGGCCCTAAAATCTTCTAAAGCTGCTTCTGATTTTTAAAAATATAAATGCAAAGATAAAATGAAACTTAATGTTATATATAGATTAGCGTCAGAAGATTTCAATGCTAATACCAACATTTTCATTGTATGGTGTTACTTCCCATTCCAGCAATCATGGCAAATAAACAAAGTTCAAGATTCAACAATGCCTTGAAAAATCAAGGATATAAAAGAATACATTCAAGCAGTAACAGCTTCCGTTATTTCTACTTGAGGATGCAAACTAGAAAAATGCCAAGATACCCACTAAAGCAACTTTGAAGTAGTAACATTTTGCAGAGAAAGTTGACAAAAGTTTCAATGTTTTTAACTTTTAAAAAAACAACTGTTTTTTTTAAAGGGGGGAAATTATTTTGTGGTAGAAGAAGCGAAACCTTAGAATGACATATGTATTTAAATAATAAATATCAACATATAAAATTAGCTTTCCAAGCTCCACTCGTACCTGGAAATCAAATCTGATGGGACTGCCGACGTCTTCTTCATGCTTCATGGCTGATTCACCCATGACTGTCCCACTAAAATGTGACTGGAGCCATGGGTTGACACTGTCACAGACAAAACAGAGTTCAGAAGTGTGGAGACACTAACAAGGTGCCAGGTTGTGTTCACTACAGGAAAGTGTAGGGTTATATATTTTTGAGAGTGTGGAAAGTAAGAGGAAAGTGTGTCAGGCAAAATTTACACTGGGATCTACTGATAGATGAACAGTAGACCAGCGACGTAATTTCTAATTTTCTGTGATTTTACAATAGCTATAGCCCCTCGTGGCGCAGAGGTTTAAACCACTGAGCTCCTGAATTTGCTGACCAAAAGGTCAGTGGTTTGAATCCGGGAAGCGGGGTGACCTCCCGCTGTTAGCCCCAGCTTCTGCCAAACTAATAGTTTGAAAACATGCAAATGTGAGTAGATCAATAGGTATCACTCTGGTGGGAAGGTAAGGGTGCTCCGTACAGTCATGCTGGCCACATGACTTAAGAGGTGTCTACGGACAATGCTGGCTCTTTGGCTTAGAAATGGAGATGAATACCACCCCCCAGAGTTGGCCACAATTTGACTTCATGTCAAGGGGAAACCTTTACCTTTATCCTATAGTAACAATACAGGGAAACAAGAGTAGGTTTTTTGTGTGAGCTCCAGTTCTGGTATTATAAACAAATTCTTGGGAAATGCACAGGGTCCCCATGAAAGTGAAAAAACTGTGCCCATAAATACAAACTACTTTCTCTAACCTTACAGAACACTTGTCTAGGTATCTTTAGGTCCTGGAGGACCTGGAAAATGCTACAGACACTTATCGCAGGGAGGGCAGTAGTGGAGTTGGCTGCAAATACAGCACTCACAAATAATTAAATCTGCAAGTGCTTAATCCATAAATGTGGAGGTATAAGTGTACTATTGCATTGTATTATTGTACTCAATTTCTGCGCTTTAGCTTGCATACGAACTTTAATCAGTTTTGCAGGCAATAAATCCAGTGATTCATTAGTACTTTGCAGCCAGCAATAGCTGAAAGACCTTACAGGTGCATTTTGAAAATAAAGATTGGTGTTCCTATTAGAAAAAAAAAGCATGTCAGCACTAGCTACATCATGTGTTTGCATTTCATCTTGAATAGCTATGAAAACCCTATTCCTACAATTCTTTGATTTTTTTTAACCCATATTCAGCTTTTCAGTAGATACGTACATTCTCAGGGATGCATCAATAGTGTAGTCCACCAAGAGGACAGCTGATATTGTAGTGAGATCTTTTTGCTGGCTTAACCTGTCAGAAATAATAAAAACAATAACAATAACAATAATGCAACCATCGGTTTTGGCCTACCAAGCTATTTTCTTAGGTTGCTAAAACAACAAGCAAGCCACAAAGATGCTTGCCCATCATCCTGCATCATTGGGATAATGTAAGAGACCATTGGAACAAGACTCACGTGGAAGGCTCCACTTGTATGATAACATCCTGGGTGTACAATGAAATCCAAATCACTTCAAATGTAATAATTAGCTCTGCCTAGAAGAGAGGAAAAACTTGGTTACCAAGAATACTTTGCTGACAATGATGCCCATTCCTAAGCCAGACTCAAATTGCATCATGCCTTTTGAAGCTTAATACTACTCAACCAACCTAATGGTTTGGCTCTTGGACTAGGACTCTGAAAGATCAGGATTTGATTACCCACTGAGCCATGAAATCCCACTTGTGATCATGGGCAGGGTAAACATATGTCAGACACAACTTGAAGGCACTCAACAACAAGAGGGCAAAGGTTCAAGGAGAATATTAGACTGGTTTTTATTTTTTTAAAATGTGATAAGACAAATTCCTTCTCAATTGAAAGAAAAAATGTTTCCCTTGCAAAAAATATTGACAAGAAAAAAGGAATTAGTGTCATTTTCAGCTTGTCAGATTGAAATTATATATAAAGTACTAATTCAACATTCCACACGAAAAACATCAAGCAACTAATACTTCAAGTGGCTCGCCAGCTGTACGTGTGAAAAATATCTTAGAGTTCTCATGGGCAACAAGTTAAGCATGAGCCAACAATGTCATGTGGCAGTTAAAAAAGCCAATGGGATTTTGGCCTGCATAGATAGGAGTATAGTGTCTCTAGAGCTAGGGAAGTCATGCTACCCCTCTATTCTGCCTTGGTCAGATTCAACCTGGAATACTGTGTCTAGTTCTGGGCACCACAATTGAAGGGAGTTGTTGACAAGCTGGAATGTGTCCAGAGGAGGGTGACTAAAATTATCAAGGGTCTGGAGAACAAGCCCTATGAGGAGCAGCTTAAAGAGCTGAGCATGTTTAGGCTGAAGAAGAGAAGGCTGAGAGGAGACATGATGGCCATGTATTATGTGAGGGGAAGTCATAGGGAGGAGGGAGTAAGCTTGTTTTCTGTTGCCCTGGAGACTAGGACATGGAACAATGGCTTCAAACTACAGGAAAGGAGATTCCACCTGAACATTACAAAGAACTTCCTGTGAGAGCTGTTCAGCAGTGGAACTCTCTGCCTCAGAGAGTGGTGGAAGCTCCTCCTTTGGAGGCTTTTAAGCAGAGGCTGGAAGGCCATCTCTCAGGGTTGCTTTGAATGCAATTTTCCTGCTTCTTGGCAGGGGGTTGGACTGGATGGCCCACGAGGTCTCCTCCAACTCTATGATTCTATAGATGAGGGCAAGATTTGGAGAACAACCTTTCAAGTGCATTCCGACCCAGAAAAAACTCACCTGCTGGTTCTTTTTGAAGGGGTTGCCTAGTTGACACAACACTCCTCCATTAAATGTGCAAGCTCCACTCTGAAGAAAGAAAAAGACAAAGTCAGTCTGGTGAGTTGCGGCTTTATCTCACTAAAATACAGCAAAATCATCCTGTGGATCATGCTGCAAACTGTGAGGCACTCAGAAAGTGGAATTTAAAGTTACATTCAGATTATAGTGGCCAGATTCCCCTCCATATTGGATGATCAGGTTGAGAGTCGCAATTCAAGATCTAATTTTTCCAACTCTAATGATGATGCTGAATCCATGTAATTCACAGAAGCTAGTGCCTTATATAACCACTTTATATTCACTGTGCCCAGAACTGCTTGTTCTTCGGGGTTTCAACCAGTCTTTTCTAGCAACTGCCAGTTGATCCTTTCTGTCAGAAGACACCAAAGTTCAAACCCTCCACAAGCAATGCTGAGTTACACCCTCTATTTCCGTAACTCACACTGAGATTTAAACACTTCAAAGGGAAAGACTCTCTTTGGTGATCATCAATCGTTACAGCCAACTCTGCCATCAAAACAATAAGAGTGGCATTATTGGCATGTAGTTGTTTATTTCTCTGTGGCTTTTGACAAGTCATGGATCACTGAGTTGGAAAGAGGTAATGGAGATATTATACAAGAGGAGCCATCTCTCACCGGTCGAACAGAAGAAGGCAGCAAAGAGGGCGGGAAAGTGATGTTGAGGAGGGCTTGGTGAGCATCCTCTCCATTGGTAGGTGTCGTTGGCTGATTGGTGACAGTGATATTCAAGTTCAGTTTCTTGACATCTCGGCTGTATTGTAATACCTGCATACCATTCCGCCTGTTGCAGGAAAAATTGCACAATTGAAGAAAAATTGCACGTATTGTTCAGAATGCAGCAGCCAGGTTACTCACAAGA